AGATTAGAGACCATACAACCACCTTATTAACTTTGATATATAGCTAACACCAATACCCCAAGATGTTTTCTCTTATCTAAGGAAAAAACATTTTCAACGCTATCCTATATGTTTCCCACTTTTTCAGAAAAATATCTGAATGTGTAGTACCTATCCTTAGCATGATAAAAACGGCGCATGTTCCCATGAATAGATGAATTGTTGTGAGTCTTCTGTAGCAAGTAAAATAATAACAATGACTTCCAAAATTTTCTCTAAATTTTAAGCGAGACAAAACCCTGTTACCCGTCATAGGTTAGGTGAAACAAAAATAAAATAGGCAACAATAGCTCCACTCGCTCACAGTGGTCGTTGAGACCTACAACCCAACCCCTTCTACACACACCATGAGGGAATACGCTTGGTTAGCAAAAAACGAAGTTGCTTAGATTACTTAAATTTTTTTATTAGCATTATGATTTTTTTTTGTCCAGAAATAATGAGAGATGATACGATGTCTGAAATGTTTTTTCATCAACGGAGGACAATATACAACACACAATAAATAGCTTTACTCCGAGTTGGTGATATAGTTATTATAAAAACATTATGGAAAACAATATACCTAACATAGTTTATTGGCAATATATATAATAATATCTAATGTTTAACATTCTTGTGTCACAGTTTTTGTGCTTATACTACTCCGAAACGGCTTAACCGATTTTGATGAAATTTTATATGTATATTCAGTGGGTATGAGAAAAGATTTATAACATTTTTTTTCTATCCTACAAATAATTTATGTTCCATAGAAGGTGTGGTATATTAACGCCCGGTTTCTGAAAAACTGATAATCGTAGATGTTAACTAATCAGCTATCAAATGGCTTTCCAAATGTCATTTTAATTTCTAAAAGGATAGTTAAACTCTTTGAATTGATAATTTTTATCACTAAGAAGATCGTTCTGGTCAATTCAAAGAGTTTAAACATCTTTTTGGCAACTCAAATGAAATTTTAAGTGCCACAAATAAAATTTTTATTCCCACAGTAGCGACAATCCTTTCGTACTTTTTCTACAAACTTTACTAAAAGAATACAGTTATGTTTGACTTAAAATTTACGTTATACAAACAACAAAGCCGTTAACATGGCCTTCACTCTTCCTATTTTCGAATACTGGCCCCATGACCTTTGACATTATTCGAATACGATGTTATCATATGGATAAAGTTATATAAAATATCTGCAACTTCACGTGGCGCATAGCCTTGGTAGAAATTACGTAATTTTTTAGCATTTTCAGATTTTTGACGCAGTGAGGCGTTTCGTTCAGTTTTCTGGAGCGCCTGGGCGCATTTGACCAGAAGACGCAGGTTCGAATACTGGCTGCGCAATAAAATAATCGACAATTTATTTATGTATTAAACATAAATTTAAGTCTCATCTTGAATGCAGACTAGTATATGTTCTTATGATACATTTATCATATTTATACAATTACTAGCAGACCCGACAGACGTCCTGTACACACGACTTAAATCCGACAATTTATAAATTATAAAAGTAGTAGTGTACTGAATTGTAAATCTAAACCTCTTCGAATCAAAATTCTCGAATCGACCTGAAGACACAAAAAATGTCATTAAAATCGGTCCAGCCGTTTAGGACTTCAGTGACATACACACTTATATATTTTTATATTTTTCTTACATATTTTTCTGTATCTGTATCAATAATAAATTTATGACTTTAGAGAACAAATATTTTAGATTACTCAAACTTGCAGGTTTCCTAGAGATATTTTTATTGGTATTATTTAATGATCTTGGCTAACTCCAACATTTTCATTTATGTGCCCCCGACCAAACGAGGACTAGTGTTTGTGTCTAGTAAAAGTTAAAGTTAAGATGGCTCTGTAAGATATTCAGGAAATATGATTTTTGAGCAAAATATAATAGTTTATGACTTAACTAGCTTGGAATGGAGGTATTTATACCTACTGATCTCCGATTTCACGGCTGGTCGTAATAGATAGAGTAAGATAGAGTATAGTATAGTAGTAAGATAGACTAAGATAGAGTAATTCTTATATATTTTTTTACATTTTCTATGTTAGGCAAATAGTTTTTTCTTATATATACCTAATATGTGTGCATTGCTGTGTCCACAGTTATTGGTTTAATTATGTTGTGGATAGTAGCACTAATGTAACATAATAATATGCCGTGGTTTCGTCCATAAACTTGCTCCGCTTAAATTAAAAAAAAAAAACTCAATTTATTGACATTAACATTGTTGTCATTTGTCAGTGTCACCAGTCGCGAGTGCCTAGAGCTATGCTAGCTAGTGCCAGACTGACAGATCAGTTATTATTTGAAATTTTGAATTGTTAATGTTATTGGGATTGACTTAGATATATAACGGTACTCTTTGGCGGTAACATATTCGCGAATTCTCGAAAATCCGCCAAGAAAAATAAGAAATCATTTGAACTTGAATGATGAAAAAGCGTTAAAGTTAAAGAAAAAACTCAAACAGTTCCTTTATAAATGTAAGTAATACAGTAGATGAAAATGATCCAGGCAAATATTCGTCAGGATTTATTAACTTTGGTGCCGGTATCAATTTCCAATGAAATTTCATGTTTTGTGTTTTTTGATAACCATCCAAGAGCCACAAGAGTTATTGATGTCCTGGTTTGTACCCAACGCGGAGAAGTAATAGAATTTTACAAGCGGGAAAGAATCTCATGTATTTTGTTGAATTCAACTAAAGATTTAAGAGAAGTACGACCTTTTAGAAATAACAATTGTGATCTATTTTACTTTGTCACGACTGAAGATGAACTTTTCATTTTGTCTTGCAATGAAAAGCTAACGCTTGAGCACAAGATAACTGATATTGAAAGCTATGAAGTTTATGATTCAATGTGCATTGGCCAAGCTTCTTTAAAGATAATTCGAAAGGATGATGCTGTACCTTTATATTTTGATGACAATTTTCAAAATTTAAGCGAGAGAAGTATTGATTTTGAAACAATACAATCTAATGATCAAACTCCCATCTTGATGCAACTAATGAGAAAATTAACAGAAGTAAAATATAATGTACAATCCAATGAGAAGAAATATAAAGAATTTATAAATTTGCACCAACTGGCAACTTTTTATTTATATCAGAAGATATGTCCAAATCTAAGTAATTCTGTGTACAACATTAATACCAAAGAAGTAAGTTTATAACATTTATAAATATTTGTAATTAGTGTAATAACACAAGACTTTAGAGTTTTTAATTGATAAAGAGATATAACCTAATAATTATGAAGTAACAGTTATCGGCTCCTTAACATATACAAATGTGCACCTAATGCACCTTACTTAGTAATAATATAATAAATACATTTTGAACCTAATTTATATCAATTTATGAGTATAATGTTTATGTTTCCTGTGTCTGTTTCATATAAAATAAAAGTTGTATGCAATGTAATGGCCAGCCATTATTTTCTAGTTGTTATTTTCTTAACTTTGCAGATAAAAAGCTAAAATTATGTTTTTGTACAAAACCAATTTTTTTACAAAACCTGTTGATAGTTCAATTAGGGCTATGTTTCTTTATTATTTAAAAACATTTGTCAATGAAAAAAGATATGTCTCTATTCCTCACCTTACCTAGACTTTTTTTTTTTCTTTTAAAAAAACGCAAGGGCAATCCCTTACTTTAGGATAACATTATCCTGTGTTGTAGGGACGTTTTACAAACATAAATTTCATGCGGACAAACACCCAGATGCGAAACAACTACCTGTGGGTCACACAAATAGTTGTCCCGTGTGGGAATCGAACCCAAGACCCCCAACGCCGATGCCACTACCTTGGCAACTGTGCCACGGAGTCATCAAAATCACTTTTACCCAAGAACTTGTGTCATTTAAGCCTAATGTGGCAGGTAGAGCTTAGAAAAAGTCTTGAAATATGCAAAATGGTAAGCCAGTTGGTGCTGCACCCATACCAACATGGATTAATCATTGTTATCTTCACCATTTTACTTATAAACAACTACTATGTTCTATTTTAAAGTACTCGGGAAATTTATCCATATAAATGCTGAGGTTCAAACTTCACCATTGGACTCAAAAAGGCTGAAATGATCATGATGACACAAAATTTATTATTATTATCCTGTTTGATAATACATTTATTTATAAGTCATAATATATTTATTTACTATAGCCAATGTCTGTTTAAATATACTAAGTCATGAGAGTTGCTATGTTGTAATAAAAATTATTTATGAAGCTTAATGAATATGTACTGTTTAAAAATTAAAATTTATTTATTTCAGATTATTTCTAAAATGCATTTAAAAACTTGGACTCCATGGATTAAATTGTACAATAAAAAACTTGTTGTAGGATTTAATTTGCTTAATGAGGACAATATGTAAGTTTATACTAAATAAAACTAAAAATGTTGCAATATAAAAATAGACATTGGGTTGCAATAATAAGTATAACAGCACTAATTTTGTTCATTCAGTACAATTTAATGCAAAGAATTATATATGAAATGGTACTTATTCATAAAATAAATAATATTTTTAAATAAACTGCAAGACAGGTATCCCAATCAATGTATGTTTATTTGATATACAATAAATATGTCTAAAACTAACAATGTTTATTGTGTGCCCAATGGCTGATTTTTGATTATTTTTTTTAAAAAATAATTTTAGGCCATTAGAAGATGTCTTGGTTCTTGTAAATAGCTCATTAAAAAGTTCATTAATTTATTTTACTAAACTATTTGAGCCTGATGAAAAGAACTGGATAGAAAGGGAAGATCAATGCATTAGTGCTCAAGCTGAAGTTGCAGTTGTGACGAGTGTTGATCTAAAAGAGCTTCAGAACAACATCACAAGCAGGATTGAGTTTCATATGGTTTTATCATTTAAGAAATCTGGGAAAGAATACCTACTGCCATTTGAAAAAGTGTGTTTATCACCCTCCACTATCATGGGTGCAGATTTTGATGTTCTTGCAAACCCTCATACAGGTGATTAATTTTGTATATTTTCTTTGATTGATTATTGATTGGTTTGATTTTTTAAGTATAAGAATTATATTATATACAATAATATCATACTTATAAGAGAGAAGGAGCTTTATTATAAGTTTTATATCAGTTTATGAACAATCTTTACATTTCAGACGAAACTCATATGTTGCTGGCAGTTCTTGCAACTAGTTTAAAGACTGAGCTTACCCTCCGTCATATTAAAAGTAAAGGAGATGAATCAAATATAACAGCGATAGATATATTTTGTAATCATTTGAAAATGGAGGAATTCCGAACAATTCAAGGGATTGCAATTCACAAAATCTCACCATATCATATTCTCCATGGTGTACTAGTGGTATTTGATAAAAAGAAATTGAATGATAGTGGAAAATTTATAATTGAAGTACATTCAAGGTAATGCTATTCTCATTCATACATAACTGTATAGATATGAGAGTGATTTAACTGCATTTATTGTAAAACAGAGGGAGGATAATAGTTACAATTTTTCTTGATAAATTTCACATTTTTCTTAAGATTTGTTTATAGACACTAACACCTTTCAACCGAATATTAAGAAAACATGTGCTGAACCAAAATTATAGGTAAATAAAAACCTTTATAATAGTAAATACAGGGTAACTAAACAAGAAAGATAAACAGACCATGAAGAAAAAAAATGTACTCAACCATATTAGAGTAGTATGTACATGGTGCCAAACAACACTAGTCTTTTTTTTTTCAATGTCCTGCTTATTACTATTTCATAAATATTCTTCTAACTAAATTTTTTTTTGTAGTCATTTCAGAAGCAATTGAATAATTCACTCTTCTAATATTAACTTTTGCTCCCACTCCTGATTATGAAAGTATAAAAAGCAGTTTCCTTTTTAAATTCATATTTGATAAAATATATTAAATTGTTTGCAATATTATATTATCAATATCGCTTTTGTTTGAAATGTATGTAAAATTTGAGACAAAACTATTTGTTTAATGTTCAGTCAATTGTGTAATTTTAAATTGTAAACTGGATTTGACTGTTATTTACAGATGTCCCTCGCAAGTGCTGTCCTTGATCAACTACATCAATGATGTTGTACCATTTCGAATAATAGCAACTACATCAAATTACAAAATTACTGCAAATACAGAGCAGTTAGCTCATTATAATGAGGAAGTACCACTTGGAAATAGTCAAAGCAAGAGTTACTTTGTATGTGGCTCATCTATGTTAAATCAAACATCCATATTGCTTGGATATCTTGATGAATGTATGATAAAAATGAATGAAAATAAAAACCCATCAATACAAAGAAAGATTGGAAGTGAAATAGATATCTTTGCTTGTGGTTTACATAAGTTTATTGAGTTCAGAGACAGATTGCTACTAGAGGTATATTCCGGTATACAGGAATATTTAAAGGCGAAAAGTCCCATATTGGTGCATGAGGGACAATCTTCAGACATGATAATAGATGAATAGTTACTTTTATTATTTATGAATTGTAGAGATAAGAAGTATATCACATGTCTTTTTAGTTGAAAAAGTGTTAACCAAATCATAATAATAATTAGGATTTAATAAATTAAGAGAATTCCAAATTTAACAACTTTTAATTAGTTTTATAAATTATAATATATAAAAGCTTTTAAAGGCTTTAGAAAATTAAAATAAGTTCAAGCTGTGATAACTCATTTAACTATAAGGTCCAGTTTATTTTTTTCAAAAAGAAAAATGAAATACATTTTTCAATGTTCAAATAATAGTAAATTTATTTCAGATACAACAACATAAAATCTAAGCTTCTTAAGAAAATATAATTTTATCTGGTTGCTTAATATTATATTATACATTTAATTCTTTCTTACATTGAAACTATACAAATTATGGAAAAATAATAATTTAATAAATATGGAAATAAAAATAAACTTAAAAATCATGCTCAAGTAAATAAACACTTTCAAAGTTAGTACTATTGTGTACCTATAAACTCATTCACCAGGCAAATTATGTGGACAGCCAGTTTTCAAAATAATTTGATTTCGTATATTAAACGTAAAAAAAAATCATGTTAACTTAAAGCCGTTACAATTGAGCATTCATAATTCTAAAAGTACCTACATTAACATAACTTAAAATTATTTGAAAAATAATTTATAGCACCATAAAATCAGCTATTTTAAAATACAGTACCTACTGCATAAAACATTGTAATTTTGTCCAACATAAAAAATATATCGGCATTATAATGTAGGTGTGTGAAGTCTTATTCTATGTTACTGAGTAGGTATATAAATTGATTCCTTTTGTTTTCTTTGCAGAAAAAATCAAATGTTAAATAATGTTTTAATTGTTACACATAATTATAAAATTTATAAATATTGTTTAATATCTAATAACCCACAACCAAAAATAACCCGTTAAAGTTGACTACAAATAACCTTGATTAGAAATGTTATATTATTTTTAGAGGGAAGATTTCTAAAGTTGTTATTCGTTTTTTTTTTAAGTTAAAGTATAGTCTCAATATATACAGCTAACATATGTACCCCTCGCACAATAGATACAGCAATATTTGTTTGAGTTAGAATACAATATCGTCCAAACTGAATCGGTAGCTAAGCCATTTGCTCCGTTGTCGAGTTTGTGGGTTCAACTCCCAACTCGGGTGACCCACCCAGATAAACGACCCGATAATTATTACTGATCTGGATGTTTATTACCCAGGGTTGACGTCATCCAGGCGGCCAGTTGTAAAAAACTTAGAGAGACCCATGAAAAACGTGATTCAAATGCTGGGCTGACCCCACTTATGTAGTATTAGAGGAAATCATATTACTTTTTAAAACAAACATTAAATTTGTTTTATATTAAAGGTTGCATTGTAGAAGTAATAATTAAAAACGAGAACGACGATAAATGATTATTTGTTTTCAACTTATACTTTACCCATGACTGTGCTCTAATAAATGTTGATACAGACAGGATATATTTAAAAAAAATTCCTATCTGGAGCACATGTGACTTGTCAGGTACTAGGAAGCTGTTTTGCTGCCTGACTCTGATATTTTTATTTACAATAATTGTCTAGCATATTAAAAGTAACTTAACAAGTCTTAAATAATTTAATTTTAAATGCATCATAAACTGTACCATAAACAGATAAACAACACTAATCATTATACAAACAATAACTACTTTTATAAAATCTACTATTGCATTGCACTTCCGGCCATTTATATTTACTTAATGTAGGCATATTCTTATTTAAATTACTTTAATAAATAAGGACATATAAGTCTGAATTATAAAAAGCTAAGTTAATTAATGTCACTATTTATTCTATTAACTGATTGCACAACTATTGCACCGATTAGTAATTATTTTATTGCACGTAATTAAATTTAAAAGGTTTTATTAAACAAAACATTCATGCTTCTATGCAATTTTGATAGTTATGCAATTTACACTTAATTGTCATTTGTTACAATCGTTTCACACTTCTGAAACTCAAAAGTCTAACTGTTATTAGAATTCTCATCACTAGAGGGCACTTTTCTAAAACTGCCAAAGTACACGGAATGTGTCTCTGTACTTTCGGCGCCAGATTCACTTCTAGCTTCATTCTCTGTATCGTCAGTATCACTGCAGTTCAAGATCTTCGCTAGAACTAATTTTCTTTGAATTTGCCTAGAACCCGTGGAGTCACTGCTCAAGTAACCCGAGTCCTCTATCGCGGCGCCTTTCTTTCGTCTATATCGCGTTCTACTATGACCATCTTCTCTGCCTCTGACGAAAGTACTGCTATCTATGCAACAGTTTCGGTTGATACGTCGACTAGAGTTCCTGCTTGAAACACTCGCTTTTGATGTCAACATTTCAAGAGTATTAGTAGAGGCGATGTATTCTGATCCCTGTGATCGAACCGAAGCTTTTACTGGACTGCAGGAGGGTCCAAAGTTCAAATCATGTATCGCATTCGCGCATGATTCCACCTCAGCCAATGATGGAATTTGCTTCGGGCTGAGGCTTCTGATGTTTACGTTTTTTGGATAAGTTTCAGTGTTTATGGTTGCATCATTTTCCACGCGTTTGGCTGGAACTATTGGTTTCTCGTATATTGAGGAATCCTCTGTAGGCGGTAATGGTGGCAAAATATCAGGCCGCGCCAAATTCTTCAGTTGTTTTATCGTCGGCGGCGTACATTGGCGTTGTCTTTTTGAATGTCTGTACTCTAGTGTTAATATTCGGCCTTCCTCCGCATTCCAGCCACTATCGTCCCAAGTGTCATCGGAGTCCTCGACGGTTTTTACTTCGCTGAAAGTACTCGGAGATAATTTCGGCCTGTTATTTTGTTCGGAATCATTTCGCAGGCTGTTAAACTTCGCCGTGTATTCAACTTTATTGCATGTCTTTTTAAATGTTCCACTGCTTCTGAGTTGTATCCTTTGACTTGGTTTGGTATCGTCACCACTGATGGACTTAATGAAATCCTTTCTACTGAACTGAGAATCATCTATGGATTCTTTAGGAATCTTTAAGGAATCTTTATGTTTCGGATGTTTCCGATCTAGAGTATCGGGCTCAAAGCCGTCCGATTCGTGTATCTTAATGTAGTTTTCCGGTGAATCTTTCACTTCGATAGTCAAACAGCCCGGCTTCTCTTTCAACTCCGTGTTGTTTGGACTAAATTTTCTACTACCCATAGAACATTCCGAACCACTGGGCGAAGTTGGTGTACTCCCAAAGTTATAATTATTATTAACATACACTTCACTTACTAAACTGTAATCGCTTTTCTCTTTAACAATGTTCTCAATTTCCACGGTATTTGGTGGATTGTCCTCAAGATTAATTTTTCCAATAGTTTCATAATGATTTTGGTCAACGCAGACGTCTCTTTGCGGTGAAGGTGTGTTGCTGCTACTATTGGAATGCGTCTTATACACAGCATTTCTCATTGTGAGTTCTTCTTCCAAGGGTAATGCATTGCTTAAACTGGGACTAGCCTGTGAAGATGGAACGTCTGGATAGTCGATTGGAGTCAAATTTCTCTTTTTATTTGTCGCTCTCTCCAAGCTGTCCGTTTCGTAGTCGTTTGCGTTTGGGCTTTCCGATTTATTTATTGCATAAATGACCTCGCTGTTAATGTTAAGAGATCGGTTGTTCATAAACTTTTCCTCGTCGGAACTGCTTAAATTATCAGATTTCGAACTGTGTTCCAAAGCGATCGCCTCGTTGACCATGTCGGGTAGCGAGTTTAGGTTGTTCAGGATTTTATTCCTGCGCTGAGTCTTGTAGCTTCTCGAACTGCCTGATCGACAGTCGAAGGCAATATCGTCGTCAATCGTTCGACAATGGTTCGAGTTGTGACAATCGAAATTGTCACATCCAGGCAACGGTATGTTATAATTTCGGCAAGACGGTTCAGATCTAACGGATCGCGTCGAAGATCTCTTGTTCGCATTGAATAAATTATCACCCGGAAACATTGTGTTGGACGTCGAAAAGCTATTACGTTTATTCACCCGACAACGGTTACCAGCGACGGGCAGTGATAGAAGTGAATCGGTCGAATTGTGAACACTATCATCTGGCAAGATTTCGCTGTACACTACTTGCTGCTTTCCATTCGGTATGTCTTCTAGCCATTTTCGAATGCTGCTTTGCTTGTCTCCTTTGCTGTTGAGGCAGCTGGAGCATTTGATAAAGTCGTTTTTCAGGCTGTTTCTTGCGTCGCTGTCAGGGTTGATCTTGCAGCCGGGACAACCCACGCAGTTCACGGGTCGCTTTCTGCTGTTCTCCCTTTTCAGGCTGACTGCACTTCCGCTGCGCTGGCTCCCCAATCCGTGGTAGAGATCCAGACTGTTCCCGTTAGATGGGAAGGTTTCCTCCTCAGGTATTTCGTTCAGTACGGGCTGGAAGCGTTTGGCGGCCATTTTGTGTTTCGCTATCGATATAACTTCCCTTATCTTGGTCAAGAACTCCAAAGCCGCCGGCGGTGGTTCCTGGAATGGGTTAATTGTTTTAATATTTCACTCATCCGCGCGTTTTAGATTCATATGCATAAAATATGTTTAATTCTAACATTGTTTAATTCTAACATTGAATTATTTTTTAAGTATGTTATGCATACTAGTACTACTAATAGTGGAGGCTATTTACAGTTGCATTGCCGGTTACAATCAGGTGAGATAGCAGGCGAACTATAGCCTCTTAAGATATATTTGTATATTGCTAGTTCAATATACAGTCCAGTGACCGTGTATATAGGACGAATAATTGTTCCGTATCTTGGTGTTTGTCCCCAAGGAGGGTTGACGTCTGGTCGGCGGTCGGTCGTAAAAAACTTAGCCAATACAACTAATAACGTAATTCAAATGTTGTGCCGACCCCACCTGGCACGACAAAAGCAGGAGGATAAAGAAGAACAGAATTAAATCCTTTATATATATTATATATATAATCCATTATATATATTGTCAACTTGATGATTCACATGTGCCGGACCCAACTAGGTAAGGTCTGAAAAAAAAGGATATTCGTCGGTGTGGCAAACAACTGTTTAGCTTAGCGGTTAGTGCCTCTGTGCGCGACTTCGGAAGAGTATCTACATTTCTTACTTTTTACTACATTTTTTAGAAGACTTACTTTTGTTTTCGACTTTATTTAGTTTACAATAAAGAATAAATAGAAAAAGGTTTTTATACTAACAGCCATCAAGTGAGGTTCGAAGTAAGCCGGGTTGAAGTAGAGCTTCCGCCGTGTGGTGCCAACTGGCCGAGCTATCTCGCGGTCTTCGATCGTCTCCACGATTGACACGTGCTCGTCCGGCAGCCTCTCTATGCCGGACTCGTCGCGGTGCGTCACGTCCGAGTCGCTCTGGCGCCTGAGCTCTCGGCTATGGAGGTGCACCACGGCCGATGTTGTTTGTTTCTGAAAGATTCCTTGTTGTTAAGCGACTGTGTGGTGGATATGCAGTTTTTCTTTATGTGAGAAGGTGGCGAACGAGCTGGCGGTTCTCCTGATGTAATGTGATAACCGCTGCCTATGGACATTTTCCATTCCCGTTGGGTTACAGATGCGTTGCAATGTGTTACAAAAGTGTACGCCGGCAACCTCACTCATCAGACGCAACGCAGAATTATAATACTTCCACTTCACGCCGGTCTTCTGTGAAATCGTAACTTATCTGGACGGACCTGCCTATTCGCATAACAGAGGAGACTGTTGCGTGGCTCTACCACAGTTCATTTAATTTGGTTTAATGAAAGTGCTTTCCCGATTTTATCGCGTTTTAATTTGATTTTTGAATTCCCGTAGTTTCGAACCCGTTCTAGACATTCTATCCGTGGAACGATATATTTTTGGATTTTAATGCTTCTGTTTCGTTTGGTTAGTTTAAATCCCTGTGTCTGCACCACGAAATTGATTGCATTGTGCCTTCACGGCTCGTGGTATAGCAATCAATTTGAATCAAAACATCGAGAAGAAATATTAATAATTGATGAATAATGATGAACATTTCGTAGTCTTGTCTTCTATTTATAGTCTGAACAACAATGGTGCCTGCGAGGTAAACAAACACTTTTACTGAGTGACTTCTAATAGGAACCGGTAAGCAATTTGAGCAAAAAGAGCGGCGTAGTAGGTGTTAAAGGTTTGCGTTTGTCCTACTTTATGCAACAAACCCAGTTGGATCGCGGTCAATATTTCCCCTGAGGTTCGCCGTTGAAACTCCAGCTATAAATTGTTTACTACTCCAGCTATAAATTCCAGTTATAAATTGACTCCAGCGCGATCGCATATATTTTTCAAGATACTCGCTGGTCGGCATTACCAGGTGCTGTTCGGATACCCGAACGTCTACAAACGTGTTGACTCACTTTGCACGCGTTGTCTTCGCTGCGCGAGCTGCTGCCGCCGAAGTCTTCCGAGTCGGAGACGTTACTGCCCGAGTCGCTGGGGAACCCCTTCTCGTGGTACTGCCTGCTGAGCAGCGGGTTGCTCTTCACCACCCCATCGTCCTCGCCGAGAACGTTGGGCATCGCCTGTGTCCGTTCGCCACCGACGCGCACTATATCCCGCTCGGTGATGACTTTCCCGCCCTTGGCTTTCAGTCCCTTGGCCACTCTGAGGCCGCTCTCCTCGGAGGCCGCCTTGCGACGCCTCCGCACGTGCAAGTACAGGAATACCGACGCGACGTATATCAGGCCGAGGAGCAGCGAGCTGATGCCGATTACTACGTATTCGGTGACCGTTAACCCGGATGAACTGGAGGCGGTGGACGTTTGGGCGTTCGGGGCGAACTGTACCTCCGTTATGTCTGAAATATTGTCAATTTGAATTCTTGTAGAACTTTACGGATTTTGAAATGGATGATGGGCTGGTGCCCTTTTATAATGTTACATATGAACAACAACAACTTCAGACATGGGATATAAAAATAGACCACAAAGAAGTAAATCGCAAAGGATTTGACGTTTCTTTGGAATTACTTGTAATTGTTCTCCGATTAACGTAATATAGGTATACTACGTTATAATGTACGCTATATTTTTATTAATCAAATTTAACATTCTATATTTTTTTACCATCAGTATACATATTTATACAACTTACAAAAAAGGAAATAAACAAAAAAAATTGGCACTATTATCTTTGAAATGTTGTACACACCTATAGGTGTGTACAGCATTTACAATATTGTGACAATAACGTTTTATTAAGCATTTAAGACACGATATTAGATATCACATTTAAAAAATTATAAAACAACAATAATAAATTTAAAAAAGTAAAATTACTAATTTTAATGAAAGAGTATACTCGTGGTATGACTTCTGTATTGTATTTTTGTAAATACAAGAATCGTTAAAAATGGCAGTTAAAACTGCAGATCCTCACAAAAGGTGACTTATGGCCAAGATTAGTTTTTTGCAGTCGGTGTATAAATGATTTTTGTTTTGGCTTGCGTAGAACAATATTTATATAATTCAAATTTCTTTTAAGTTTTTCACAATATGAAATTTGACCACATTTTAGTTAATATGAGGGCGGCTCACTGCTAACTGAGCGTGGCGGCGTTCCTTGGACCCTGAAAGCGACGCAGGGCGTGAAGACACCGCGAAGGTCCAGCGGGGAGGAGGGGGCGGCGGTGACGTCACGGCATAGAAGGCGCACCACCATGACTCGGCCCGCCATCCTCGTGCGCACCTCATCTTCGCCGCTCCACTGTAGAGTAGTAACAGCCTATATATATTTGTCCCACTGCTGGGCCAAGGCCTCCTCTGTACATAGCGCACAGTCGGCCACGCGACCCCACCGCGGATTGACGGAATTCATACATCTTTGAAATATTTTGTTGTAATTATTTGGAAGATATGCAGGTTTCCTCATGATGTTTTCCTTGCCGTGATTTTCTTTGCCGTGACGTGATAAAAGAGGTTTTAAAATAAACACTTCATTGGTGCCGGCACCAGATTTGAACTCGCGTTGCTCTAGCATACAGAATTAAATGCTGTTGCACGAATGGGCTCGTCTAGGAAGAACAAACTGCGCTTTCTCGAGTTGCCTCAGCCATAAGCTCCAGGTAGTTGACGATTTATTTTAAATAATAAATATTTTCGGACACATTTTACGTTCTCTAGTCCCAAACTAAGCAATGCTTGTACTATGGGTACTAGAAAACTGATAAACGTACTAACATACTTAAGCTATTACGAACTATTTTAAAGTAAGAGAAAATGAGAATTAGCACTATTACTATAATTATGGTATCAAGTTGATATCAAATTTTTCAAGTTAAGTTTTTTTTCGCCCGAAGCCCAAGCAACGCGCATGTATTTGTGTTCTAAATTCTACTTCTTAATTAAGTTAATTGACACTGAACAACATTGTATAGCAACTTGAAATAGCGGATATAGGTATATCGAGAGATTGTACATATTTTAAAGTGTCTGGTACAGTTTGTTACGCACTCGTACCTTCGAAGTTTTTACAGTATCAAGAACCAAAATGTAAATGAAGTTTGATCAAATGTTAACATTGCTTCATCGCTGTGTATTATATTAATAAATTATGGTAATTCTAAATAAATATTATTTACCTGGAGAAACGTTCGACCTTCATCCCGGAAAAGACTGAAGGGCACGTCCGCATCTAGGGTGTTACGTAAATCCAAAAACCCTTTACGAGTGAGAAACTGGGCTCCGGAAACTGCACATATAGGTGTTTTGACATCTGAAAAGATTTGTTATAAATTAGATCGAATTAGATAATTTGATAAGTCATAGCGGTAACTAACAGTTCATTTACTTTAAAATAATTTCATTAAAACGTATCCAAGGAACAGTAATTTAATGTATTTATTGAAATAGGTATAAGAGATTTGTGAAATATTTATTGTCGTCTCATAAAACAATAAAAGTTATCGCTTACTTTGAAAAGTAATTTCTCTGGACGGATGTATTATCTGTCCTTTCAATGGCAAATATACGAATGGTATACGTTGCACGCCGCTGCCCGTGCCGAAAGTCGCCAAAGAGCATTCTGCAACGAAATTTATGTATTTAACAAGAATAAGAAATACAAATATTTGATAAATTTAAACCGCCGTTACGCATTCACTGCCACCATTTTAGTCGATTTTATTGCGGCTCGTTCGTTAGGGAATTGAGACTAATACCGCATAATTTGTACGATAAGCTTATTGTGAGGATTTTGGACGTTTCAAACGACGCTAAATTTGCCGCGGTTATGCGAGGGTCTCGGTGATGGCGTCGCGATTCGCTGATTTGTTGGGATTATTGAAAAAAATATAATGACCGTAAGCGCTCGCGGTCGACATCTGCTAATTTGTACTGTACTGCGGTTCGGGTATTAAGATTATTGTAATGTGGCCCCGTAGCGATGTATCAATGTAAAGACGAATTTTAATAATTTGCGCATAAGTTTAACGCCGGGTAATAACTAAGTGAACTTGAATCTCATTTAGCTGGCATAATTAATGACTCTATCTTTATCTTCTAACTATTTATCCAGAAAACAAATAAAAAAGAATTCTCTTCCTTCTTCTTATTCGCCAGGTAGCGGTTAAATAGGTCTGAATGGAATGATTTTATGCTCTACAATTAAAACGACATTTTATTACTCTTGAATTAAAACGCATTTTTTATCCCGGAAGAGTTAACTGTTTTTTAAAAGCGAAGAGTGACAATAATTAAAGTAACAGCTAATGTTTTTTTTTCAGGCGAGCAGGCTGTTCACCTTATGTTAAGTGAATACTGCCGCCTATGGACATCTATAACGCCCGGGGGCTTGCAGATGTCATTGAAAACTTAAAAAAAAGTGGAGTCTAGTTACTTCATTAAGCAGACAAAACGTAAAAGTTTGGTTCGATTCCTCGCTGCTCATTAAAACCATGGTACCTTCGGGGCGCATGCCCATCCGTGCCATAGAAGCATGGCCCTACTTTCAAACCATCAATGTCTAGGTTTTCACATATATAAATTCGATAGTGAATCCGCTTGATGATAATCGGCGGTGTTAACCCTACACGTATGTCAGCAGTCTGGATAGGGTGGGTGTCGTCTCACCTGGCAGGTCGTCCACGCACAACTCCCGGTCTTCTCTGAAGAGTGGGGCGCGTTGTGGGCAGGCGCAGGCACACTGCGGGGTGCCTGAAGACCGGGCAACCGCACCAGCTCCATGCTCGGCGCATTGGGCCGCCCCGCACTCCCCACCTTTTTTGGCCGACAGTTAAGTACAGTAAAGTGCTCAGCCTATACGGTCTAGACCTTAGACGGTATCTTAATAAGTCTACAATTTGAGATTAATAACACAATCCCACCTGCATTGGCCAATAGCCTATAATGACGCAGTCTATATAGACTAGCTTGCACCTTAATAAATCCACATTGGAGATAAAGAACACAATCAATATGCCTTTAGAGTATCGACATGAAGTAAAAATAATTTCTGGATTTTTCAACTTGCCACACTGTTTGTGTTGGGTTTGATTCTCAGACGAGAAAGTCCTTACAAACTTTCGCCTTTATAATATTAGAAAGGATATATTCTAATATTATAAAGGCGAAAGTTTGTATGAATGAATGGATGTTTGTTACTGTTTCGCGCAAATACTACTGAATGGATTTTAATGAAACTTTATAATAATATAGCTTATACATCAGAAAAAGACATAGGCTACAATTTATATAAATATATTATATATATCTGTCTTTCAGTCTGAATGTTACGCCTTAAGCTTATTCTACGCAGACGTAGTCGCGGGAAGCAGCTAGTGAGTTATTAAATGTCCAGAATGTCCCTGCTGAGAAGTAACTGAATGATCAATTGGTGACGTAGCAAATGTTCTATAAATTTTCGCCTCTCTCTTTGAAATTTAGAGCTCACAGCACAGTAGTGTATTCTAATTTATGGACGCTACGCTATAATGGTATCATTGAGACAACACGCGTAACATTATAGTAATAATAATAAAATATCTTTATTCACATAGACGCTTGCGCGTTCTTATGAAACGTCGAGATTTTACAAAGAAATTAATGCGTTCGTAAGTTACCACCGGTTCGGAAAGCAGTTTCTGTTGAGAAGAAACCGGCAAGAAACTCAACAGTAGCTCTTATTTTAAAAGGTCATTTTACAATATAATGGTACAGGTATTAGTTTTAGCCTACGCGAGTATCAACAGTATCAACTCGACACATTCAACGCTCAACAGTTGGGGCTTACCGCCGAGCAGCGTGAACACGTCGCCCGTGTCACGGCGCGCGAGCTCCCCGAAGCTGCCCGGGCCGGTGGCCGCTGCGCTGGTCGCTACCAGCAGGAGCAGCGCGGCTGCCATCCTACCCGCCGCCGTCGCCGCCCACACCGCCGCAGAACCGCATCGCGCATGCCGCAACTGGACACACCGTAAACATCTCTAGGATCCCTTTTTCAAATGATTTATCCTTACGTAAACAAGCGTCGCCCGCGAAACGTCCTCATCGACCCGGTCGACGAAGAGGACTTAGACACGATGGACCCACCGCCGGGGGTCCCGCCGGATAACACTACACCCACAGTTAGTGTAACAACAATCACACCAGTTCGCCCTCGCCTCCGAGCACGGCGAGACCCACACAACGCGTACACAAGGTACACCCGCGTTCCGGGGCGGTTCTCACCGCTCCCAGCCACCGATTAGCTAAATGCACAGTCGACGGCCGTCGGGGTCTCGGTCCGAACCAGCGACCTCGACGGCCCTTAGATGACACACCATAGTAGTTAAATGCACGCATGAGCACATGCGCGACCCTACCCATAGCGGAGGGTCCAAACCCGTGGGTTCTGGCTAGCCCACCGGTTCTGCGTCCGATGAAGCTTTAATAGTCTCGGGACTGAAAGCAAAAACATCAGTTAATACAAGATACAAGACAAGATTTATCCTTACTACACTACATAGTATATAATTTTTAAAAAAACCGACAATACACTTAAGGGTTACAATACGAAATAAGAAAACAATATTTTTATATTTGAATAGATTTCCTTTTCGACGGTATCGTGATTGCGTGTAGCGTTTTTTGCATATCTTACAACGTTTACAGACAACAACGGTTCTTGTCTGTAACCAGTTCCTGTTACGTCCTTTTTTTTATTTAAACTGATTTTTCTATGCGACGTTTCGCGTACTGCAGTGACATCTCTCATCTAGATCTCACACGTTTCAGCGTGAATTCGCCAACATATTTCGTAAAACCTCAACGTTTAAATAATTATGTCTTACGTGAGAAAATACCTCTTTAGACGGATCGATGTAATGTTAATATTTGAAAAGCATATTTTTTAATCAGTTATTTATAACGGCGACGGCTTTCAGATACGTGACGTGTGTTTTTGAACATTTCTAATATATTTAAAAGATATTATATAAATATATAAAAATATATATGTTCTAAGATATTTGAAATGAATTAACTAAAATTTAAAGTATTGCAAATATTGAAAATGTAAATGCAATGTAAATCGAAAATGTAAATCGTAAGAAAAACTAAGAAGAAAAAACGAAAACAAAACACCAAGTATGCGTTGTATAATAATGAGATTTGATGATGTCAGAGGAAATATGTTTTTCAATAAAGGTATTGTGTAAAAGGACAATGAAGGTACTAAATATAATAAGTAGAGCGATCATCGGATCAACTTCATTTGACATCTGAATGAAAGTAGCGCAGTGACTAATGATATAACGAGAGGCCAGTGAAAGCTCGCGGGATATTGCAAAAATTCAACGGCATTGTGTTCTATGTTAGATTTCACTTAGTTCTCATGCGGCTGGCAAACCCATGAACGTCTCAGAACATACATACTTATTCATGCTTTTTCACTATTTACCACAACCATTCTATATACAGCGTGTGAAACTATTTCTTGGAATATAAATCGTACTATATTCAAAGCGGACGATTTTATTAAATACAATATGATTTTACTGTGTCCACATGTCCAAATATCACAGTGTTAGTAAGAGATTTCTTTACCTTAGGCGGATACGCAATCGGGACATTATTAGGTGTAACAATTATCACCGTTAATTTACGTCAGTGGTGTTGATAATGTCTGCGTTTAAGTTTTATGAAAATAAATATGAAACGGGCTTAAATGTTATGATATATATAATATTTATAAAAACTTCGATGGGCGAAAAGGTTTACGATTTCGTTAAAAAGTAGAATATACCAAAAAAACTAAAATTGATAATACGAAATCGAATCTTATATATAAAAATGGATTGCTGTTCGTTAGCCTCGCTAAAACTCGAGAACGGATGGACCGATTTGGCTAATTTTGGTCCAGGGAAGGTTTAAACGATAAGAAATTATGGAAAAATTGCATGGAAAATCGAAATACCAACAATTTTATTTTCCCATACACACTGTACCTGCCAACCTGTCAAACGATTTTTGAACGCGTTCCGATTCCTCTAGAAATAATTTATATGGCAAAACAATGTTTGCCGAGTCAGCTAGCTAAATATCACAACACAAGAATTTATTAGATGACAGTATCTTTGCAATAAATAGGTCAACTGTGTATCTATTGAACTACTTGTATTACTAATTGTATGCTAGATTGACTCTGAGCCTATTAAACTAATATTATTTCTTCCGTCAGAAAGGTCAATATTTATAGATCGAGTTCGAAGAAAAACTAACAAATTTCACGGCCCCCCTACATCTCGGAAAAAAGACTTATTGTGTTTAATACATGTATGGAGTAATGTCAGTCATAATTTTCCATTTTACAAATCTTTCTGTCTATAACAGGTTAACTACAGAATCATTTTACGTTCTTCATGATACGTTTGTAACATATTTTCAATATGTTACGAATGTAACATAAAGAAATCAGTATGTTATGAACGCTGCAGCATTGACGGGATGAAACATATTTTGGAGTTACTGCAACAAAATGCCTACAGATATATGTTAAGAACAGTAACCCCACATTGTGATTGTATTAGGCAACACGGCAAAGTCTGTAGTGGTACCTCTTCTGCCACGTGCCAACGGTATTTACGCTCCGAAACTGTCGCTGCCACAGAAATGTTCGCTGTTTGTGGACGTCGCGCAAACATTGGGCTGAAATCGGGAACGCGGTTTAAGTTATTACCAAAGCGACACTGTTCCACGTGGGCAAACTCGCACAGTGGTAGGCCGGACCCCCCAGTAACGCCATTGAAGAGCACTTGTCTTGTCGTTCTCAGTTTCTAGCCTCGAGTACGAATCACGAAACGATGCGTTTTAGTGACGATGGAACATCGCGTGTATTGGTCATTTCAATCCCTGCAAATGATCTGCATAACTTACAGCCTGCTAAATACTCTACCGCGTTGTCAATATTAACCTTGTCCGTAAATTGATCGTGAAATACCAGATTTATATTGTCTCCTTCGCGAAGGCGCGGAAGTTGTAAACGTATTTCTCGTTCTTAAAGGCCCGCAGGTACTCGAAGATAGACCATTGTTACGGAGGCGACTCGATATTTAGGTCCTATGAAACAATGACCACAAAGGATTCATTTAAGTTTTACTATTTGTCATTCACGCACCGTACGGTGTGTAGGTAATTTGTGGCGTAAAACGGATAGTTTGAGGGCAAGTACGCGCTGTAGGTATGAACCTAGTTTGAGAATTAACCCCGGCAATATTTACTATAATAGAAAACCATTGTTTCTGATTTACGGTTAAAACGACAAGCGCATAGTGCCGTCGAACGTTTTTACGTTCTGTGTTCAAAATATTTTATAACTTCACACAGAACTGGATTAATTTGCGAAATAAACTCGATGTTCCCCTTTTGAGAAATATCAAATGGTTTTTTTATGATTAAATTCGTAATTCGTGTGGGAACACACGTTTTGTTGTGTTGCAAATTTTTCGCAAAATTAGTTTCGGTGCGGTTTGTAAGTACGAAGCAGACCATAAAGGAACGTTTGCACCGATATTACGTACGTAATGTGGACGACGTAGCGGCTAAAATATGGCAAACCGTGCGCGGTAAAAGTTGTAGGGAGTGCAAAAGTTATTTTAATCCGATGTTATCTTAAAATTTCTCGTAATAATCCCTTCCAAATTACACGTTACAGACGAAGATTGTTTACTTACAATACATTAGACCTCGCAGTTACATTAAGTTCATTCACTTTACCCGGCCCTTCTGAAAACTCGTTTTTGTATAAATTTGAACCGAATTTAATGTCTCGGGAACTTTATTTTAATACGTATTATTTTAGATGAGTAACTTTTGCGACGTCATTTTAGCGTTATAAGAATACAATTATAATCTGATTAATAATGATAGGACAGTTTACAATAAAATCGTTAAGGAAAACCGTTTTATTGTAAATTGGTTTGGTTGGATTTTTAAGTGTTTTCTTTGTTACTGGAATCCAAACAAATTTTCCACAGTTTTCGAATAAATACAAATAAGTACTTTCTTTGTTTAACGCATATTTAATGTTACGAGCTATGTGTCGACCTTGTTCAAGCTTGTTACAGTTAAAAACATCATTCGTCGCCTTACGAACTACTGGTAGGCAATTATTTTATATAATACTGATGGTTATAACTTTGGTATGTCAAGAAAACGATGTTCTATGCGTGCGGTGGTGCTGTGTGACAGTCTTTCAATATTTTTTCGACAACACAATGGTTTATTTGTACTATATATGGGATGCGATGCATTCCAAGAGTACATCAAGTTATGTACCTCGTCAAGTTCGATCTAAAAAAAGTTATTCTACATTAATTCCTTTTACGTGTGCGTTAATGCCCTATAACATAATTAACGTGATATTTTGATAGGGTAGAAGCAGAATACATGATCATAAACGGTTCCAATGTGAAACTCCATTGGAATTCGGCGCGAATTTTAACAAATCAATTACAACAATATTGCGGAACTACACCTCATTTAGATAAAAATTGATATCTACTCTGTCAATTCATAAGTTGTAAGGAATTAAAAAAATAATTACTTAGTACTATGATTCAGCAGCATCATGCTGGTTATCTATTTAATATTGTGGTAATGTCTAATATGTACATTTTTTTAATAGGCCTCTGTTCTATAAAACTCAATTGTAAAGATGTGTTCACTGCAGTTTTAATATATTTAAGGGTTTGGATAGGTCTTGAACAAAGTTTAATAAGAACACATTTATAAATACAAAGAATAATTATTTATTGAATTATCAAAACGATTGTATGAGAGAAATTATCAACCAAATCCAAAAATGGGAGGTCCTGATGTGCGCACGGTTAAAAATATGATAATCAAAGAAAAATATGTTTCCAGTAAGCAGCAACTGATAGTTAAGGCTTGAAGTTTACTGATATATTTATTGTGATCTCATTATAACGACATTTTTTTTCAATACAGAAACCAATATTACCAAGGGCATGATTATTTGTGAAGCAATGTTAATCAATGCGAAGCGTTCTCGTAATTTCCACACGTCATTCACAAAATCTCTCAATAGCCGCTTGTGTGCTGAGCAAACTGAACGGTTGGCCGATGCTGTAGTCTGCTCTGCCACGAGTATTTGTTCACCTGAGCCCGATGGACTCGGCTAACTGTCCCGATCGCTCCCCAGCCACATACGTCATTAGACACGCCCGAAGGAGTTTATTTGAGATCCTATTGCAGTAAGGGCTAATTGGCAGAACGATGGATGTATATCAGCTGCGTACTGTTTTATACCCGGGTTGGATTTCATGACGGATATTAAATACTAAACACACAATGCTCGTAGTCTTTTCCAAAGTTCACAGCTTATTTCTGTTCGGAAATTATCGAAATATATTCAAACGTTTCATCTCGTCTTAATTCTATGTAACGGATTCATTGCTTTTGTGTTTGTCTGTGTTTTAGTTCAATGTCTTAGAAAAAATATTTAACATAGGACTGCAAAAATGTTTATTGCACAAATTAGCTAAATTCGTGATAGATTTAATACTTTTTAAAAAGATTTAAAAATATGCAAATATGTGTTATTTTCTCGCTCAATTCTAAAAAGATGATATAATAAATATCGAAAAAACTATTAACAATTCTTAGGAATATGATTTTTTTAATTTTATGATTAATAATTCGATGTCTGGTGTTCGAAGGCGAGGTGAGGGCTACTTTGTACATAGATATTTGCAATAACGTGTAATCAGATCGACGTTAACAACGTACGCTAGAGCCTTTTAAAGCTGGGCTTAATTACCGCTATTCCTCATGGGTGTAGGATCATATTGATGGTAAATACTCACCTTTATGCCCCCTTCATAATGTCACCCGTTAGGCCAATATAATACAATGTTAATTGAGTAACGGTGGGAGTATAGTGGACGATAAAGCTGAATGTAAGTCTGAGGATAGCCCAAATCAATGTGCGCTACTACATTGTGTCATCTCTAGAAGTTTTTTTTTTAATTTTTTATGTGATAAGTTGCCAAACGAGTATGCAGTTCACCTGATGGTAAGTGAATACCGCCGCCCATGGACATCTGCTTCACCCGAGGGTTACAGAGGCGTTGACAACCTTTTGAAAATTGGGCTCCGGCTACCTCACTCACCAGACGAAACGCGAAAGTATTGGTCATACTTCCACTTTACGCTGGTCTTCTGTGAGGTCGTGGTACTTACCCGGACGGGCCTGCCCATTCGTGCAACAGCCGAGGCTGCTGCGTGGCCCTACCACCATAAAGAAGTGGGGGGCTGTACCCAATACACTGGGTCGGGGGGTATTGGGTAAGGCCCCAATATCTTTATTTGACTAATTTCATGGTATTTGCATGCGATGATACATGCAAAGTGGCGGATTTAACTCAAATATTATTTCGAGCCTTAGTGCTCATAACAGTACCTACTACGTACACATCATTCAAAGTAACCTGTGCTTCTAATGAACCCCAGTGGTAGCTGGCTGCAATAAATAATGGCTGTTACTTGACCGGGACAGCTTTAACAGTCGCTCAGTCAATTACACTGTGATTAGACCATCAATTCAGCGTATTTACGGGGTGGTCATAACAGCACTAGCGATGAAAACGTATTAGTAAAGTAATACACCATTTGTGCCGAGATTCACCAACAAAAACTTGTCCCAATTACACTCCGCCTTATGCAAACAAAATGTATAATGTATGAAGACGCGTCTAGCAGTTACAAGTAGTACTTCAATGTAATGTGTATACTCTCTGACTGACAGAGAGTTTTGATGTTAATGACCACATTTTTTGAGATTTTTCTATGGGCAGATTTAGACAAGTCATTGGTTATTTTACTCAAATCATCAAGCGCTTTCGGTCACTTTACATTTTATTACCTTATTTGTCAACCGATTTCATAAAAGGAGGAGGTTATCGATTCGACTGTATACATTTTTTTATGTTTGTTACCATAGAACTTTCGACTGAGTAAACCGATTTTGATGATTTTTTTTTTTTTTTTTTTTTTTTTATTTGAATGCTGGTGCTTCCTATGTGTTCCGGTATAATTTCAGTGGTATTGGATCTTGGGCTCCGGAGATATCGGGCAGTAGAAAGAAAGAAGAAGTGTTTCTTGTGTAAGTTCTTCATATTGATTTATGATTTCTATTTTATTCGTTTCTGACTTTGTATGGATACATCTGTTAGCCGTGGTAGCTCATTGTCCGGCCGCTCACTTTTAATTTAATTGTCTCGAATAACCTGAGCTAAATCCCCGGTGCCCACCCAAATATTTTTTTTTAAATTAAAAAAAAATTAATAAAAAAAATTCTTTAATTTTTTTTAAATAAAAACCTCAGCGGTGCAGGAAAACATTGTGAGGAAACCTGCATATTTTCAAAATGAAGATAATATGTGAAGTGCGCCAATCCGCAGAGTCGCGTGGTGGACTATGTCCTAATACCCTCTGTACAGAGGAGGCCTTTGCCCAGCAGTGGGACATTTATAGGGTGGTACTTTACTTTACTTCTTTCTATCTGTTTCTTAAGGCTGTAGTAAGCTTTACTATGTAATATAAAGAACAGCTTATTAGCTATTCAGTTTGTTGTTAGTTGTTCTACCATGGTTAAAAGCTTTTTAAACATAACAGATTTGATGCAGAATCGTCCGGGGAAATATCGCAAACTAAAAGGATACATATGTAGAAAAGTATTTGTAGATTTGCATTTTGTGCGGTTAGTGAGGTAGCTGGCACTCCAGTTAATGTAGCCCCGTACACTAAGCTGACATAGGACCTGTACATTTATTGTAATAGGGATAGGAAGCAGCTTCTGCTGCCGCTTGGATGGGCAGGCTCGTACTCCTAATACCAGAAACCTCATAGAAGACCGGGCTGACGTGGATAGCTTTGCACGTCCTCTGGTGAGTGAGGTAATCGGGGCCCACTTTTTTAAAAAGCTGCCAGCTCAATTGCAGCGTCCCAAGTATTGTAGTATTGTAGATGTCTTTGGGCGGCAATCACTTAACATCAGGGGAAACGCTCAGTTGCAATCCCTTGAAATAAAAACAAAACAGTATTCAAGCGAATAAAAACGAAGAAAAATAAAAACATATGCATATACGAATTAATGAACGCAACACCGCAATAAAAAATCATCATCGAGTTAAACGGATTATCCAAAAGAGATATCCTTCGATGTTGACTAATTTATTTTATAGCTTTCCCGTTTCAATAATGCGTCCCCAATCGTATTCGGTAATTAAATACAATAACGCTTTACTTCCTACCGCTATTCGCTTCAATTAACTTTATGTCCATGCAATGACGGCGGTATTAACATGTGTTTTATTTTAATGCTTTTCAATATTAGGTACTAACGAACTGTCGTCAACTAAATGCCACGCGTTGGGTTGATACACAAATCCTATTCAACAATTTTCCCCTTTAATTTACAGCGTCCGAAACATTTCCGGAAACCTTCGTGAAGTTAATTCTGAAAACTAGTTGATCGATTTTATTCTGTTTTCGATGCGCATATTTTGCATCCCTCAATAATTAATGCTAAAGACTTTATGAACGAAACTAACAATCTTGAAATTTACACGAACTTAAAAGTCCGCATAAAACATGCAATGTTTACAATTCTATTCAAATAAGTAGTGCGCTGAAGATATGAAGAATATAAAGATTTATAATAAAGACTTAACACAGACGTCCCGAAGAAAAATTTAGTTTGAAATAAGTAATATTAACCTATTTAATTAACCTATACTGCAGCTAAATGCCGGCACGGGTACAGGGACATTACACAGACGTCCGTAATTGCTGCCCGTGGCGAACGGAACTGCTTGGAAACGAGAATGCCTTAACCTACTAATCATTTATCTCCATAAGTGTTATGAAGAACGCCGCATTAGAAGTAAATAATAAACCGCAATTAACCAGTTGGACCGGTGTCAATTCCTGTACAAGCTACTGTAATTTTTGCTTGCGACCCGTTGGAACACGCGAACTGGACCTTCCATCCTGCAGTTCTGTATTGAAACGCTTCCCGATCCCGTTAAGAAGTCTTGCTTAAAATGGAACTCTTACTTTCTCTTTATCGGAGTACCTAGAGCTTGATATATTTGGGATTTTTTTATGAGAATGTAGCAAGCGAGCTGTCGGTGCACCTGATGTTATCTGACAGCCACCGCCCTTCGACATTTGGAACATCCGTATGGTTGCAGATGAGTTGTCACCTTTAATAAAGTGGGCTCCGGCTACCTTAACAACCAGACGGAACGCAGAATATACACACGTCTAATTCACGCCGGTATCCTGTAAAGTCGTGGTACTTCCATGGACGGACCTGCCCATCCGTGAAACTAGCGAACTGTTGCCTGGTACCACTGGTGCAAAAAGAGCTTGATATATTGGATTGGCTATCCCATTTCAAGTAATTCATTTTGGTTGTGTCGTTGGATTGGATGAGTTGTTCCGCTTCGACTTAGCAAATCCTCTAGGTTGTATTCAGATGTCGGTAATGCATCAATTATTATCTTAACAGATGCCAGCCGCAACTGTGAACGCACCTCGACAGTCACCTGCCGCTTTGCGGGGGCGGTCGGTTGTACGATTACACTTGATGTACGTATGTAGTGTACTCCTACAACGAGGAACTTCCATAGAATATTTATCACTGGGCACGTGCTAAATCATAGTTGACTAGGGTTGAAATCGACTATGTCAGTGATGTGATAGAGATGATCATATTATTTTCTGCCCTCGGACTCATAAAACAGTGTAAAGAAATTTTTTCTCGGCCTCTAGGATATTTTAAAACTCTTAAATCACGATATTTTCATTAGTGCAATGTAAGTAGCAAATAAAGTCATAACATCACCAAATCATTATATTAAAATCGATGATCTATCTTAGTTCAGTCGACATAAAATTTTCCAGTTAAGGTTCGTACAGGGTAGAATATAAAAGAATTTTCAACACCAGTTTATTTTAATTGGAATTCAACGATATTTTAGCATATTCATGTTATGAAAAAAAGGACTCCAACACTAAAAAGTAATCGACAATAAAAATACATAAAAATAAGATCAGCCCCACTAACCTAAACTATCGCTCATAGGTGTAATCATGCTGTTTTTTTTACCAACTAAAAACAGGTAGTGTTTCATAAATAAAAGGGGTA